ATATCACCGTGGTGCCACACAGCGTTAGTTGACGAAAGCCAATCAACCCTTTGTATCCGTGTAGAGATTTCATCAGCAACTGACCCAGCAGGGCATGGCCGATCCTACTTCACTCACCAGGTGAGTGAAGTGGTTGACACGCTCAACCACTACACTGACTCTCTATTGTTAGCCACGGTGGGGCATCGTTGAAGACCAATCCATGAGCAACAATTTGCATTTCCGTGGTGACAAACGCATCTCAAACATTCTCGAATTGTCACTCAAAGTGTTCAGAATACAACTGTTGAGCATTTTGTCAGCTTCTTCACCCAACAGGACTATGTCATCTACATATTGTAGGTCTGCAATTGGGTCAACCTCTGTGTAACCAGGTGACGGGAAGGAGGCCTCCATAAGAATATCTATGATGAAGTTGAATAAGAGTGGTGGGAGTGGGCACCGTTGACAGACAGCGCTCGACGCGTACAGCTCCCCGAATATCTCACCATAGGCTCCAACACGTCCACAAGTGTTCGAGTAGAGAGTCTTCAATAAGGTGATGTATTTACCCGGTACGCCTTTCAGTAAGACCTGAGATGTGGTTGCCAAGTCAGGTCATCTGATCCAAATCGAGCTAGATTAGAGAGTGGGGTGGGGGTATGATTTCCAGCCGATTATTATACTGGATCGAAATGATTGGTTTCTGATGGTATATGAGCTCCTATGTGTGAATATTTCCACATTGCCTGAAGCTTCAATATAATGAAGTTTGGTCGGTAGTAGTAGCTAGCAGTGAAATCTAGAATGCACATCACATCTTTTTTGGGACTTGTCAGCTGGATACACTTAGATTCCAGTTAGTGATGGTGTTCCTACAGAGAAATTGAACACAATGCCCACTGCACCAAACATCAGAGCGTTAGCCACTAAACAAGTGACTCGCAAGAGTCACCTTCTTATGCAATTATCATCGTCAAGATCAACATAAGACCAGGCATTGCTGAGTGACGGTTCAAGTGGCCACATCTCATATCCGAACAACAAACAACAAGGTAATAAAATGGAAGATGAAGGAGAGGAAAATCGGTCAAAAGAAGTAGAAAGTGGTAAAATACAGGAGGGAAGAGTGAGAAAATGACGAGATTAGGTATAGCGGCTAAGATGAGGATAATATGCACATACATTTAGGCCACTGATATTGTTTCCGAGCTATATCGCCTAGAGTATCTAACCGCTGGTTTCGTTCGTCTCGCAGACCCCAAACGTCTAGTCTTTATAGCCTTACGTAGCTCAACTCAACACTCAAGGAATTAAGGCCATATTTTATTTGGCCTGGTCACCCCGAGTCTTTTTTCAACTTGAGCTAACTCTTCAGCCAACGTTATGCGACGAGGCGGACTATGACTAGGCATACATAACACATGTCCTAGTCATCTGAGTTGATGAAGGTTCACAATAGCATCAATTGACTTTCCTCTCCTTCTCAAAACTCTACACCTGGCTTCTGCATTACTCACATGGTGACACTATACGACACACAGTCTACGGTACAAAGGCAAAGGTAGTCAAATACCAAGAGCCTTTTCATGTTATCTATCTTTAATGGAGACGTTTTACAGCCGTAGAGTAGCACAGTACACTCAAACCTTCATGGATAATCGAATATCACGGTACGATACAGTTGTGAAGATAAGTGGGTAGATAAATAATTAGTAGTATCCATACATGATAAAATATGCTAAAAGTAGTATATCATATTGAATACGAATTGTTTGTAGTAAGTATCAGCCAAAGAAGACTGGTAACACCTCTGATTCACTTTTCCAATTCTCACCAAGTGTACAGCTTAGCATCAAGAAATACACCATAAAAAATAATATCATGTACACATAAAGTATGACCAACTGACAGGGTATTGAAAAACTATGATGACTTTTGAGACACTTTTAAAGAAAGATAGATCATAAACATAGTTTGTTTTGCCTCTTAATCATAGTTGACAGAGTCTCAAATCACTGAATCACTGGTCTCTATTTTGTGACCCTTAACTATGATATGTTACACTAGGGATGAAGAGGGTATGGACACATATACATAGAAGGAAGCAATCAACCCATGCAGTTGAAGGTGAGAGAGCATGTAACCCAAATGGCTACAACAATAGATAGAGCATGAAACTTTGATAAGTGCAGATGAGAGACAGCCATCTTCATCTATAGCTACTCATCTCCATCCAGGAAGGCATGATCCAATAACCCATAAAAAAGTAACCAGCTCAACAAGACTACTTTTCATCCCATGAAGCCATGTTGTACACTGACCATCTCCCCGCTTCTTTTAATCAATCCCAAGGTTCGCAAACAATAAACGGTATGTGAGCTTTCGAGAAAGCCTGAGTAAGATGATCTCTCTATGAAGTCGAACATGAATTACTGGAGCTTAGAACCAGTATAAAACGCGTTGCCATCAGATTCAAGCAATCCTGTAGAGGCATTAGTGATTGAACACACAAAGGCGACAAATATTCACAGTTCAATGAAGTCAAATCTAACAAGCATTTAGGCTAGAGTCATAGAACACCATAAGTATACGAGCACCCTTGCACAATACCATGAACGCCTCTTTGTAAGTGTGCGATAGTGACTAGCGATAGGATCAAACACGCAAATCGCACCCTAAAACTAATCAGTATTCTAAGGTATCTTAGTGTCCTCGACAGTTTTCATAAACTCAAAACGTATTATCATAAACGTCAGCAATATCTACAGGTGTATATTGACAAAGACGGATAACTTCCATTGAACAACTTGAAGGAAAGAATTGATCAGGATTTATCATATTTTTAAAAATTGTTCTAAAAGGGATTTCTATATTGAATTATTAGCCTGACACGATAGCACCATTCTTGAATGTTAACACAAGTAGTGGAAGACATAGTGAGAAATAGTGCCCCATTGTCATCTGCTAATGTCGCACAAACTCGAAGATCTACACGCGAAAACTAACAAGTTAACAGAAGAGGCAGGATAGCGAAGACAAGACTTCTTCAAGGTGAACCTACAGAAGACACACGTGATGAAGATACCCAACCACCACCACCACCACCAACAACAACAACAACAACACCCAAGCACCATCAACAGGAGAAAACTAAACGAACTTGTCTTTCAAATTCCTAGGCAGCGAAGCCTCGTTTCAACTACAGGCGACACACGCACAGATGAAGACGTCAAAACCAGGATCCAGAAGACAGCAAGACAAGTCTGCCTTCATCAATCTGAAATCAGTGTGCAGATCTACTCCACTCCACTCCACCCACAATAAAGCCTGAACAATATCCCGATTTTCAACACTAATTCAGTCAAGTGAGTCAGTGCTCCTAGGTGATGGTTCAGAGACTTTGCACCTCACGAAAAGCATTTCCAACAAATCACAGACACACATCAACAACTGCCACCTACGCTCACTCACTCGATACTCACATTGAAGATCAGATGGCCATAAGCAACAAGCAACTCACTCTGGCTGGCTGGCTGGCAACCAACCAACAACCCACCAACCAACAAATATACACAAGAAAGTGGAGATGGATTGGATTGGGCGTACACTGAGAAGATCGTTTAGGGACATAACGCACCAGGCCAGACCCTCGAGTGCAACCTAAATAGGAAACGACTAGTTGGGCGTCCGAGGTGAGGGTGACATGGAAGAGATCGTGTGAGGAAGAAATGAAAGCTTGTGGGCAGTCGTGGAGCCAGGTTAGAAGAGAAGACTGTAGAGAAGAGAGTGAAATGGCGACGTGTTACTGAAGCCTTATGTTCCACTAGGAATCCAAAGGACAAATAATATAGTTATCATCCCCTGATCACTAATTATTAGATAAAACCGTCGACAAAAAGAACAGATTAAGGGGAGGGGGCAATGAACAAAGAAGGACAGTTCTATGTCATAATTTGTTTTACAATAAACGAACGGAAATGAAAGACTAGTTTAGATTTTTATACATTCCAAAGTTTTTATTGTCTACCAGTACTTATCTATGAAAGTGGAGATAACTAAGATAAAAGTTGGTTACCTGAATACAGTGAAGGAGAATTTCATCACAGTCAGATCAATACACGAAGAAATAATAATAGTTATATGTTTCGTGAAGTGAAAAAAGCAAGAAATGTGCACTACTGGATACCAACCCAGAGGGCTCAGTAACAAAGTGCTACCTGAAGGTTATAGGTTCGATCCCTGACAGTGTCATGGGTGCACACTGATGAGCAGTCCCGTACTAAGAAGAAAACGGCTCCCAAGTGCTCCCAAGTTTTCAATGGTTCTTCAATGGATGTCAGTTTATGATGAATATCAAACTGAGATTAATATGTTTCAACAAGAACCTACAGGTATGTTTCAGCATCAGGCTATACAGCTGTGCTTAAATGTGTAAAGATCAGTGATAATCAAATATTCATGTACCAATTTCAGTAGACAAGAATGTGATCCAAATTTATAACCTAATAGTTGAAATTCAAATATTCAGACTAATGACTAACAGTTGAGCACCCTAACACGACATGTATCCATGAATTCATTGATTATGATTGACATGAGGGCATATATAGACTTCCAGTTCAATTCATTGTAGGTCCTAAACATGCATAATGTCTGAGTATTTATTGTTATAGTTGACTTGGTTGTGGTTAGCGACAGAATCCAGAAGGTGCGTTTTGAGGTGGCTATCATGCCTCAGTGGATAACACTTTGGTATTTGGAGTGAGATGAGTACGAGGTTCCAGTCTCAGTGGAAACAACATCACTCAATGGAGTGCAGATATATCTGGCTGAAGAGTCCTAGATAGGACGAAACGTGCGTCCAGAATTCTACTGCTAGCTATGAACAAGTCAATCGTCTCAAAATTATGTACGTACAGGATTCAAATTAGTGACCTCAATCATACGAGACTGTTAAACCACAGCTACCCCAAACAGTCATACTGATTATCAACATATGTATATAAGATTAAACTTACATCACTCTCTAGAGCAGAGATCTTTTGAGATGATTCATGAAACTTGAGTTTATATTCTTGAGCTTGATTACGACTTTCTGTTACAATATTTTGATGCAAAAAGAAAAAGAAAAACATCCAAGGAATTAACCATCAGTGAGAAGGAGTTACTAAAAGATACTTGAACACAATTAAATAGACGTAAAAATAGGATAGATGTTATGGAAACGAAAAGAAATGTACTAATTAGATTGTGGACTCATTGAATAATAAACATGAAACAAGTAAACATTTGCGAATAAGACTATGATAATGGTCAGTAACGCCACTCCGCAGACACCGCTGGAATTCAGGTGACTGGTAGTCGAACATGTACACGAACGACTAAAATTGATATTATTAGCCTAATGTACACCTACCTCTTTTCATTGAAACTCGATCAAAATGGTGAAGATATATTTATAGCACTCCTTATGTATGCTGGAATCACTGTGACCAATGTCAGTGTTAGGCGAAGGGAATTAGGCAAGACGGGCAAGTCAGTCAGTGAGTTTATGAAACTTCAGTGATTCAGGCGGCTTGCACACGTGTTATGCATGGCGAGTCACCGCCTTCTTCTATAAGCAATGTCGGCTGAATTTGAGGTGGGTTTGAAGAAGTCGGAGAGTGGTCTGACCAAGCCCGACCGCGATAGCTGCTACCTTGACGTGGTGGTCGGGCTTGCATGTCACAATGACTCAACGAGCTATGCTGGTGGAACAGTAGTTCCCTCGAGGTCCTACTATACCAGAAAGGCCTGTTGGGTAGTGGCAAGACGAGAAGCACTTACCGCTGTGGTGTAAATTACTACACTATGATGGGGGGTCTGAGGACGAAGTCGTACTGCTCCTAGCTGGATGGGGTGTGACAGTAGTAAGATGTTTCCCTTGGATGACCAGCAGTGCCATGCTGATGCTGTCTTCTCAGTGAAAGAGGGGGCATTAGAAAAGGTCATCCCCCAAAATAACACATTCCACCATACCTCACGGTCTGCCTGGCCGGCAGTGTTGGTTCATTTGTCGTTTCTTTTTGACCATCCGGCCCCAAAACAACAAAAGTTCAAAACAACCATACACAAAAGGCTGCATGTGACAGGCCTCAAGCAGATGTCCGATAGGCTCTACGGTCACAAATCTCTTTCAGGTACCTTAAGAAGAAACAGCCTTCCATGGTGTGGGCAGCCGGGAAGTGTCAACCGCCCTCACAACTCGATCAACACTCAAGTTTCCTCAGATTGTTATCCACCTACCCCACCATTACTTTCTAATCTTCCTTCACGACTCTCAACTAACCACACTACATCATCTTCAATTTCTCCTAGCTCTGCAGCTTTAGATAACGATCTAAATCCACAGAACAGCATCTCTGGTCTCCTTAAACTACTCTCCAAATTACACACCAGGGCCTTTAATGTCCATACCCTCCGTCAAATTGGCCAACAGGCTTCACTGGCAAAGACTCTAACAACTCGTGCCATGGATGTGTGATGTGTTTGTGAGACATGCATACAGGACCCAAGTGTGGTTATTCACCTGACCTCTCCTGACCAATCTGGTGAATCCGCAAAATTCACCCTTCGAGTTTCTGGAGATCCGATAGCTAGCTAGCTCTCGTGGTCTTGCAGGTGTAGGCATAGCAGTAAGCACTAGGGCAGAAAACTCACTACTAGACTGGATCCCAGTTGATAGTCACCTCTGCGTTGTCCGGCTGAATGACTCAATGTAAACTAAAAGGAGTAGTGAAACTCGCCGTTGTTTCTGTCATCTCTGCTTACGCACTCACTGGCTGCAGTTTGGATGAAGTGAAGGACAAGTTCTACCGTAAACTGTCTAGCCTCCTCTTGAAAGCTAAACGTTCAGACGTGGTGGTTGTTGCAGGTGAATTCAATGCACAGGTGGGTAGACTGAGTAAAGCAGAAAGGTAATTAGGTGGCACTTTCGGAGTCCCAGCTGAACCTAAAGACAACGGTGATCGCAGCGCTGAAGACCGTAGCCAACTCAGAAAGAGTGACTAAAAAGAGCCAGTGGATATCAGCAGCTTCATCCGAACTAATGGATGCACGTGAACGCATCCCTGCAGGCTCTGAGTACAATGAATAGCGAGCACGACTTAAAAGTAGACTGGGAAAAAGTCTACGCAACGACAGCAAACAGTGGTCGGCAGTGAAGGCCAAAGAGATGGAAAAGGCGGTGGCGATTGGTAACAGTAGACAGTTATTTAGACTTCTTAAGGAAACTGGGGTGGGGGTGGGGGGAGGTCAACAACAGTCAGTGAGACTGCGATTCAGTTGCAGAGGAGACGACTGGGACGATGGGCAGAATACCTAGAGAAACAGTTTGACTGGCCTCCAGCCACCATCGCGTTGCCTACTATCCAGTCGAACCCTAACTGGAACATTGGGATAGACCCCCCAACACTTTCAGAAGTCGAGAAAGCTGTAGGTAACTTGAAACAAGGAAGGGCATCAGGACCAGATGGAGTAACCCCTGAGGTATACAAGGATGGTGGTGGAGTGCTCTTAGTCAGGTTGACAGAAGTGTTAACTAGTATATGGGAATCAAATACGATCCCCTGTGACTGGTCTAAATCACTGGTTATTCCAGTCTTCAAGGAGGGCAAGAAGTCCTCTTGTGATAACCACAGAGGAATCAGCCTGACGAACATAGTGTCTAAGAGTCAAGGTTCCATAATTCTTCGATGCCTGAGTGGAGCTCGGGAAGAGGAAACCCGAGAAAACCAGGCAGGCTTTAGATCCGGTTGCAGGTGTATTGACCAAATATTCAGACTGCGCCAGGTTCTGGAACACAGGCGCGCCTAACGACGTCCGACACTAGCTGTATTTCTCGACGTGAAGGCGGTATTTGACTCCGTTGATTGAGACGTTTTATGGCAATGTGTCGCATTTAAAGGGCGTGCCGAATAAAATATTATTATTTTCCCCTAGTGTTCCTAGTAGGACATAGGGGTTCAGTAGCACGCCTCGATTGCACTGTCTTCTCTACAGTCTTTCCTTCTAACTTGGCTCCACGACTGCCCACAAGCTTTCGTTTCTTCCTCACACAATCTCCTGCATGTCACTTTCACCTCGGACCCCCGACTCGTCATGCCAAGTAATTACATCAATTCAATGATAGCTTACTACTAGAACACTTGTGGACGTGTTGGAGCCTATGGTGAGATATCCAAAGAGCTGTACTCGTCGAGTGCTGTCTGTCAACGGTGCCCACTCCCACCACTCTTATTCAACTTCATCATAGATATTCTTATGGAGGCCTCCTTCTCGTCACCTGGTTACACAGAGGTTGACCCAATCGCAGACCTACAATATGTAGATGATGCAGTCCTGTCAAGTGAACACGCTGACAAAATGCTCAACAGTTGTATTCTGAACACTTTGAGTGACAATTCGAGAATGTTTGAGATGCGTTTGTCACCACGGAAATGCAAATTGTTGCTCTAGGATTGGTCTTCAACGATGCCCCACCGTGGCTAACAATAGAGAGTCAGTGTGTCAACCACTTCACTTACCTGGTGAGTGAAGTAGGATCAGCCATGCCCTGCTGGGTCAGTTGCTGATGAAATCTCTGCACGGATACAAAGGGTTGATTGACTTTTGTCAACTAACGCCGTGTGTGGCACCACCGTGATATCCGATTGTCTATTCAGGGTGAGGTGTACTTCACAGAAGTCCGATCTGTCCTACTCTGTGTGTGTGTGTCTGTGAAACATGGCCATTGAAGGTGGAAGAGATGAGAGGGGGCTGGCTTCAAGTGTTTGACCACCGTTACCCTCTTAGTACATGTCGTATTCCATGGTGTTACCATGTGAGTAGTGTAGAAGTCAGGTGTAGAGTTTTGGGGAGAAGAGGTGAGTTGAGACGGTTATGAACGTGCATGAAGTGAGATGGCTGGTTGGAACATGTGTTAGTTATGCCTAGTCGCTGATTGCCTCATCACACAATGTTATCCGAAGTAGGTTGAGTCTGTGAAGAGGCTTGAGGCTGGAGACGGCCAGACTACAACATGGCATCAATGTATGAAGTGTTTGACTGTTGGTTTGAACTATGTGGGACGATTTTGTAGACTGGGTGGTTGGGGGTCTGTGGGGCAAGAGGAACTAGTGATTGGAGACTGACTCTAGATGATGACATGGTTGAGAAGCGATGTGAGTGGTGCAGATGTATACACACATTATCTTCATGTTAATGACGCTCTTTCGAATCTCACCATTTTGTTATTCTTCCTTTCTCTCTTTGAGTACTTTATATTTCTTTTATCTGAATTTTGTTTTCTTCACTACCTTTCTACTGGATGTACTGATATGAGGTGTGGCAACTTCGAGCGTTACGCAGTAATGCCTGATCCTATGTTGATATTGATGATGATGAGGAGGACAGCAAGGCATTTTATCAGTCCTAGAAGTTGTTAACTGTTGATCTGAGCTGTGTAGGGAGGTGTAGACTGTCTGTTTGGGGTCCCCGAGGTGATAGAAACTATTACTTGGAGATCCTTGGTGACATGACTGAAAATTAGTCATAACAGCGCAGATTTATCCCCCTCTTTGACGTCTTCGAAAGCTTGAATGTTTTCGTTGTTCTCCGATATGCCATTGTCTACTTTCGTATCACTCATCTTCAACTCACTTGTTGTTTGCATGCTACTTTGAATTGTAGTTCTACGATGATTTCATCTGTCTATCTATTTCTTTGCATATCACTTCATTCCAATGTGACCTATTCTGAAAGCAAGTTGATGATAAACAACAGCAGTGAAAATGATGTAAGAAAAGTGAAAAAAGTCTGCTTACGGAAATTCCTGCTTCAGTCTGGGCGCCAAGGCGGTAATCTCAACCCTCACACAAGATACGAACTTACAATATAAAATGAAGATTTCGAAGCTATTAACCAACTTTTCTGCAAATACTGAAGTTCTGCACACTGCGAACTTTTTAACCGATTACTCAATTTATTGCAATTGTATTGTTTTTGTTGTGTTTTTTTTACACACGTAAAGTAATTTTTTCTATTACCACTTTCGCTTATGTCTTTATCTTCACTTCA